ACTGACGAATGTCAGAGGGCTGGAGGAGGGCGGGTGGGTGGAGGGGGAGAGAGTAACCAAAGAATTTATATGCAGATATGCACAACCCAAGGACACAGACACGGTGGGGAGAGGGCCTGGGGAGGGGGATGGGACAGGCTGGAATGGGTCATTGGGGAGAAAAAGGGACATCTGTAATATTTTAAACAAAAATAAAAGACAAGCAAAAAAAAATTACAACTAGGATAATCCAAAGATAACCACATTGAGACACATTAAAGTCAAACTGTCTGAAGTCAAAGATAAAGAGAATCTTGAAAGCAGCAGCAGAAGAGCAACTTCTAACATACAAGGAAGTTTTCATAAGATTATCAGTGGTTTTCTCAGCAGATGCTTTGCAAGCCAGTACAGGGTAGCATGATTTACTCATAGTGCTGAAAGCAAAACAAAACAAAACAAAACACACACACACACACAGAAATCTGCCAACTAGGAATATTGTATTCAACAAAACTGCCTTTCAAAAAAATAAGGAAAAATTCAGACTTTTCTAGATAAACAAAAGCTGACAGAATTTGTTACTGCTAGACCTGGTCTACAAGAATTATGAAAAAGAGTCCTTCAAGTCACCATTGCAATTAAAGTGATAGCATTCTATTTTAATTCGATAACAACTTAACTCCAATATGTTCATGTATTTACCTTTACCAGAGAATTTTACATTTTCATACATTTTCATGTTATAAATGGACATGGACAGATATAGTAACCTGTACTATTATAATTTTGGTACATAGAATTTAAATGATAAAAACATTAAAATAACTATAAATCTATGTTAATGGGTATAAATATATAGAAACATAATTTGTGACATCAATAACAATTACCAAAAAATCCACATACTCACAACCTTACATACGAATAGCAGAGCGAATCTCAGCACTTGGCCAAATAGGCTGCTGCCAAGTAGACAGAAACTGAGAGTAAAAAAGTACAGATTAGCTCTAAACAGCTCACCCACTAACTGAAAAATTTCTATTAGAGATAAATTTCATTGAGTCTTTCAGTATCAGGTCCTTAAACATCTCCTAGAAGAAATAACATCTTAAAATAGTATTTATAATAGGATCATGGCAGGAAACAAACTCTTAACTGCAATGGTTCATCTAAAGAGACTTTTCATTCAAAGACTATTTACAAAAGCCTGGGCATGGTTATAGGAACCAAGGAATGTTGAAGCTCCAGAGACTAGCAAGAGAGGAAAGGTATTTGGGCAAAAGGCAGAAGTTGTGTTTCCAGGTAGACCAAGGGAGGAGGGGGTGCCCAGACATAGCTATTATAATGACAGGAGTTAGCCACCCCTAAAACCATGGTGCCAAAGCAGAGAGGGAGTGGGAAAGAAATACATTACTCTCTCACACATACCCTATCTTCCAGTCTCATGTTTATGCTTTCCTTGGAGCAAAGCTGATCAGCAGTAAGAGGGCAGAGGAGCCCAGCTGGTTCAGGGGTCAGTCTCCCAGGGCACAATGCCAGAAAGAAAACAGCAGAGAATAGATGGTGGGAGTGGCACAGTGTTAGAACATTTCCATATTCTTAAAGAATCTTAAAGATCATCTAAGACAGTCCCCCAGGCCATCTGTGTAAATCCTCTTTATTTCATCCCTAGTAGAAATACCAAAAACTCCAATGGTGGCAAAAGGTGTGGCCTTTGGGGTCAGGCAGGCCTGCTCCCTGCTTCCAAGTTGTTTGACCTTGGCCAATTTACCTAACTTCTGAAAACCTCAGGCTTCTTCTTTGTAATGTGAGCATCATAATAACCTCATGGGGTTGTAGTGAAATTAAATATATATGCAGAGGTGGGGAGACTGTTGACTTAGTTCGGCATGAAAAATGTGATCCCCAAATTCACAGTGCAGTCTGACTTCGCAACTAATGGAGTGACTCACCAAAACATCTTCATTACTACTAAACTATCTATCAACTGAAACCTGTTGAAATATATTCTGATATATTCGTATAAATACCATATAGCTATATTTTAAAATGCGGCAGTTCTTTATATACAGAAATACAGTGATTTTCAAGATAGTACTTACAATTGAAGATGATGATAGACAGACAGATAGATGATAGATAGATAGATAGATAGATAGATAGATAGATAGATAGATAGATAGATAGATAGATAGATAGATAGATGATAGATAACCTCTGGGGTGATGCATAAGAAACAAGTAAGAGTGGATGCTGTTATGAAGGATTTTGGAGATCTGAGAACAGGGCTAGAATGAAAATTTAATTTTTATGATCATACTCTTTTATAGAGAGCACTATTTGGGTTTTTCCCCATGAATATGTATTGTTTTTTAAAAAACTTCCTTGACACAAAAAGTCTTTCAAGTTGGTATCTTATATCCTTCTATTTATCCCATTGATTCCACAATCATTACAAAGTGCTTACTACTATAGTAGGTGCTGGGGCTATGAAAAGAATAAGACACAATCCCTGCTTTCAAGGAGCTGTAGTCCAGTTGTAGAGACAGAAAAATACGCAGATAACCATCCTGCAGTATAATAAGTATGGCCTACCTAATTTTCCTTATTTAAAATTTGAAGACACACACACATGCCCAATACCCCTTAAACTCCCCTTTTTTGTTGCCCTTATCACATTCTAACATTCTGTATAATTTATTTATGACGTTTATTGTTAGTCTCCCTCCACTCCATGAAGGTGACGACTTTAGCCTGTTTTGCTCATGGATAGATCTCTAAGACCTGAAACGGTGAAAATTTTCAGTATATGTTTGTTGAATGAATAAGTGTTATGGTAATATAAAAGTATGTAAAAGAAGCTACCAGAACACAGCAGAAGGGACACCAAACTTGTGAATAGAGGTCAATAAGGGTTCACAGTGGAGGCAACACTTATGCTAAATCTTGAAGCAAATTTGGGTGACTTTGGCTGAAAGGCCCAGTGTTCTAAGAGCAAGCAAATAAATACAGAATGATGAAACACACAGGGAAGAGCGAGTCCAGAGGCACAGAAATCTAAGAGAGAATATAGCACATGCGGAAAACTGAACATATGGCAATAATACTGGTTGCTGCTAATTGTTTCTGTTGGCTGGGTGATGAGTTCTTGAAGATTTGTTGTGTTCTTTCTTTTGTGTCTGTTTAAATTTTTTCATAATACAAGGTTAAGAATAAATTAATAAGTAAACTTTTTTAAATCCTCACCAGAGAATATGTTTTATCGATTTTTAGAGATAGGAAGGGGGAGAGAAAGAGAGAAACATTGATCGGTTGCCTCCCGTACTTGCCCCAACTGGGATATGCACCTTCTGATCAGGGATCGAACCCACAACCTAGGTATGTGCCCTGACTGGGGATCGAACCTGCAACTTTTTGGTGTATGGGAGAATGCTCCAACCAACTGAGCCATCTGGCCAGGGCAAGTAAACTATTTTTTAATGAGTGTAAAAGAAATTGAAAAATGCATGTTTTCTAGGCAGGAGGCATGGCTATAGCTACCAGCTAACATCAGCCAAACCGAGGTGGCAGGAAGTGGAGAGTGAAGAGAGTAAATACCTGAGAAGAAATCCGTAAGTCAATAGATTTTCAGTTGTAAATGAGAACTCAAACTAGCTCAAATATAAAAGGAAATTCATTCATTCACATACTAGGAAGTGTAGCTGGCATTAAAAACTGCTAGACCTAAGAACTTCAGTGATACTATCAGAGCACTGTCACCCTCATATCCTTTCTGCCTCTGTTCAACTTCATTTTTCAGATAGGCCTTCTCCAGGTGGTAAGCAAGACAGCCCCTGATAGTCTTCACCTCAAATCCTCCCAACTTAAAGAATTTTTCTCTCCCAATGTCCATATATAAATCTCATGGAAGTTTCTCGTAGTCTCTATTTAAGTCATGTGCCCCTCCCTGAACCAATTACTGTGGGGTAGGGAGACAGAATAATATGATTGGCCAAGACTGGAATAACTCTAGCAAGTGGAGGGGTGGGGGCTCAGACACCAGGATTGACAGGACCACGTGAATAGGGAAAGGTATCGTGGTAGGTAACTGGTATTGTGGCCCCCATGGAGGGCTACAATTGGTACTGGAGATGGGAAGGTTGGGGAGTGCCGAGTAGGCTGAGTAGTAGGAGTGTAAAGATAAGCAGAGAGGCCTTATTTTTCTAAATAAGGCCAGACTAAGCTGGATTCTGGAATTATAGAGAAATTTGTTGTTGGGGTAGGGGTGAGGGGCCAAATGGTAGGATGAATGAAAATATGAAGCTCACATTATCCTCATATGGCTAATGCTAAATCTGGGCATGAAATAGTTAAAAATCTTCCACTTTTCCAAAGAAGGATGATTGAAAATTGAGTAGGGATAAAAACTGGTGATGGAAATTCTGTAATTTTCTCAGGTAAAATGTGAAGTTGAGTGCAATTAGGAAAACATCCTCAAAATAGCTTTGTTTTGTTTGGCATGTGACCAAACCCTGAACAGCTTGATTAGTATAAAAGAGATTCAAATATATGTCTTTCCCATATGCTTAAGAAACTGAACTGAAGGAAGAGAAAAAGAAGCACATGCCATCTGTTGAGGAGGTATGCAAGCTCCACAGGGATTTTAGAAAGGAAGGGGGCTTCAGTCTGCTAAGACCAGTAGGCAGTGAGAAAGGCAGAGACTCAGAGAAGCAGAAACAAGGTCAGACCCAGGGCAGACACAGAGCCTGAGACCCATAAAGCCAGCAGGAGCACTGTGCCTTCTGTTGTATACCGCACCAAGTTCTTTCCATCAAAATAGCTCCACATATATCTTCTCTAAGAAATCTCCCAGCACAACTCAGCAGTAATGAGTTATCCCATTAATGGTATGGTCATTCATAGGATGGATTAATTGGGATCTAACCAGTGCTTGCCCATGATGAATGAAGGGAGAGGTTTTGGTGACATTGGGCCAAAGGATCATGAGTCCTAGAAACCTACTCTGGCTTAATCATCTTTCTCCCTGGTGAGGTTCATAAGCAAGCAATACATTCAGGGGCCATCAACAGATAAGAAATCAAAACACTACTCTATTTTCACCTGAATAGATGCCCAGTTTTTATGTTCAGAGTTCCCTTGTAAAAACAAGGTTGGAGCAAGCAGCCTACAGTAAAGACCCACATGAGCCTCCCTTTCCCCCCACAGACCAAAATCTTCCTACCCTCTGTCCTGCCACATTTGAACCAGAAATGGAAGCAATAAAAAGTATGCTTGGTGATGCATTTGAGGAAGAGAAAACAAGATGGCCAGCTCCTAAGAGGAGGCCCTGGCTTAGAATACCTATTCCTGCTGCATGAAGTGGAAGAGAAAGCTGCCTGCAGGTTCCTACCACTGCCCTTTAAATGTGGACGGATTAATTTCCTGGAATCTGGCTAATCTAAAGAACAACTCCTATCTGGCTGGTGTGGCTTAGTGGTTGAGCACTGACCCATGCACCAAGAGATCACTGGTTCGATTCCAGGTCTGGGCTTCATCCCCAGTAGGGGGCTTGCAGGAGGCAGCCGATTGATGTTGATTTTCTCCCATCAATGTTTCTATCTCTCTCTCTCAAATCAATAAAAACATACTTAAAAAAAAGAAAGAAATGCACAATCTTGAGCCCCACCCTAGATTAATGGAATCAGGAAATTGCATTTAATAAGATAGGGATTCACATGTCTGGTAAAGTTTGAGAAGCAGTAAGTTTCTGAATCCTAAATCCATGCTCAAATTGTCTGTCATTTGGATCTTTGCTCACTTTCAAAAATAGTACTCTGCATATGGTCAATAGTTAATGACAGGATATTTGAGAAATTCTCTTTGGCACCTATTTAATTACAAGGAGAAAACAATTTTTGAGAAACCAGCACACATTTACCAATGAGTGGCTCAGAAAGAGACAGAAACATACTAAAGACAAGCAAACAAAACAGTTCTAGACATACACACACAGCTCTGCTGAGCAAGACAGATGGGCATAGTAAGTCTCCTCTCACTCCATCCCGCCGCCCATAATATTCCCTCCCTTCCTCGCTCATGCTCTCTTTCATCCAAGCTAGTATTAAGCTCTCATGTTGAGCTGTGTTTCATACACAGGAGAGAACCACATAGATTACATGTCTCTTGCAGCCCTATCCTGAAACCCCAAATCTAAGCATGAGATACTGTACCATTAAGACAGGTCAGAGCAGGAAAACAAAAAGCAACTTGGCACATCAGTATTTCTCACCTTTAAACAGTTATAATCGTCATGACCCATGTCTTATTTCTGACAGTGGCCAAATCCCACGTATGGATCTTCATCTAATATTTGCCTTCAGTAACTATTCCTACCTGAGTAAGAAGTTAATGATAAAAACTAGAGTACCCAACCCCCAGTGTCTTCTCTTCACCTTAAAGTAAAAAAGGCCAAGGGTCAGAAAATATGAATTAACTAGAGTCTGCCATAACTTTTTAATTTATTTATTATTTTTATTTTTATTGATTTCCAAGAGAGAAAGGGAGAGGGAGAGAAACATCAGTGATGAGTCATTGATCGGCTGCCGCCTGCACGCCCCCTACTGGGGATCGTGCCTGAAACCCGGGCATGTGCCTTGACCAGGAATAGATCGGCAGTCTCCTGGGTCCTAGGTAGATGCTCAACCGCTGAGCCATACCAGCCGGGCTGCCATAACTTTTTAATTTATTTATTTTATTTATTTTTAATATATCTTTATTGACTTCAGAGAGAGGAAGGAAAAGGGAGAGAGAGAGAGAGAAAGAATCAATGATGAGAGAGTCATTGATCGGCTGCCTCCTGCACGCCCCTGACTGGGGATCGAGCCCTCAACCCGGGCACGTGCCCTGACCGGGAATCGAGCCCTGATCGCCTGGATCCTAGGTCGATGCTCAACCACTGAGCCATGCCACGCCGGGCACCATAACTTTTTTAATTCCTCACCTGAGGATATGTTCTTTTTTAATTGATACTTTCTTTTTGGAGAGAGAGAAAGCAGGAGAAAGGAAAAGAGAGAGAAACATCAATGTGAGAGAGAAACATCAATTGGTTGCCTCCCATACACAACCGACCGGGGCTAGAGTCTGCAACCTAGATATGTGCCCTGATTGGGAATCAAACCTGCAACCCTTCAGTGCATGGGATGACACTCCAGCCAACTGAGCCACACCGGCCAGGGCTGCCATAACATTTGTATGGGATCCAGTAACGACTGGATTTAATGAGTAATGATTAAACTTTCCTATCTGTTCAGCCCTTACAGTGTGCTTCACAACAACTCTATGGAGTGAGGAGTATCCCCATTTAATGAGTGAGAAAATTTGAAGCTTTCAGAAGTTGAATAACTTGCCCAAGAAGAGGCAAAGATAGAATTCCAGCCCACACCTATCTGAGCCCAAAGCCTCTTAACCACTGAACAAATATGACGTCTCGCTGGTCAGAAAACACTGTGTGAGGAGACAATCATTTTCCTTCTCTGGGGCTAAGGTGAGGATTAAATGAGATTAGAGATGTTCAAGCACTTAGAAAAATAAGGCACTGGAATGTAGAAGGTATCACTTAGTACATTAAGAGTGTGTCCAAATAAAGGCCCTCAGCACTATATAAATGACAATTACACGTGTGAAGTATGTTTACTCTAATTAAAGAGCTCGCAGCTCATTCAATACAGAGTTCTCATTTATTAAATTAGAAAATATTCTTTAAAAGTTTAACCCTCAATGTTCGCAAGGATGTTGCAAAACTAGTACATTGCAGGTGGAACCACCACCTTTCCAAAAAGCAAACTGACAATATGTTTCAAGACATTTTTAAAAACTGACACCAGAATTTTTTGTAAGGACAAACAGGACAAACACTTAAGTATAAATATGGTTAAGAGTATAAATTCTGAAAGCAGATTACTTGGATTTAAATCCCAGCCCTACTGCATATTAGTAGTGTGGCCCTGGGCAAGTCTCTGTGAGCCGGTATGGAAATGGGGATAATAATAGTGCCTATTTCACTGGGTTGTTATGAGGATTAAATTAATTATTATATGTAAAGTGCTTAACCCAGTGCCTGGCACAAAGTAAGCACTATATAAAAATGGTATCTATTATTTTTATTATCTCAGTATTCTATATAATAGCAAATAATTGGACTCAATCTGTCTGACCATAGGAAAATGGTTAAGTCCACTATAATCCAGACATAAAATGAATATTATAAAACCATTAAAAATGAGGCTTTAGCCCAGCCAGTGTGGCTCAGTGGTTGAGGCGCACCCTGTAAACCAGGAGGTCACAGTTCAGTTCCAGGTCAGGGCACATGTCCCGGTTGTGGGCTTGATCCCCAATAGAGGACGTGCAGGAGGCAGCTTATGGATGACTCTCATCACTGATGTTTCTATTTCTCTCTTCCTCTCTCTGAAATCAATATAAACTTTTTTTTTTTAATGAGGCCTTAAAAGACTAGTCACATATAATATAAAGTAATAAAGAGCAAGAAATTGTATATATTGTCTCATACCACTCATGTTTGTTAAAAGGGGACTTGGTACAAATATAGATGTATAGAAAACCACCTGTAGGGATTACATCAAAATTATTAACAAAGAATATATCTGAGTGACAGTGTAGGGTTGGGAGTTTCATCTGCTCCTGTAGTTCGCAAATCCTTTAGAGTGGTGCTTCTCACACTCAAATAGGCGTAGGAATCACGTGGTGATCTTGTTAAAAATGCAGATTCTGGATCAGCAGGTCTGGGATTTTACAGATTCTGCATCTCTAACAGGGTGGTGCTGATGCTACTGGCCCAAGGGCTACACTTTGACTAGCAGGGTTTTGGAGCGTGGTTTCTCAAACTTCTGTGTGCATCTGAACCTACCAGAGGGTTGTTAAAGGACAGGCGCTAGACTCCAAACCCTAGATTTTCCTATTTTAATAGAGCTGGAGCAGGACCCTAAATGTGCATTTCTAACAGATTTCCAGGTGACACTGATGCTGCAGGTGTGGAAACCACACTTTGAAAACCAATGCTTTAGAATACACACACACACACACACACACACACATTACTTAGCATCATAAAGGAGTGGGGGAAAGTACTTTAAAAAGGTCAGGTTTGTCCATTGCGTACAAAGTAAAATCCACATTCTTCACTCATATGCCTCTATAATTTAACAGAATCCTTTCTGTTTAAGTCACAAAATCAAACCAGTCTGCCCTAAACACACTCTAGATTTCAAACATCATAACTTCTGCTCTATTTCCTCACTCTGGCTGATATGTCTTCTGCTCAGCCTTCTGCTAACTCATGCCCAAATTCTACTACCCACCTTTCAGAGCCCTCCAATGCCATTTCCTCCATAAAGCCTTCTGATCCACCGCTCCTTAAAAAGCCACCTCTCTCTCCCCTCACTGGAGCTTCGCAGCACTCGCTGTTCCTCCCTGGTAAGGCTTACCCATCTTTATCTGGTAGAGTGGCTCTAAGGGTGGGTGGTGTCTCTCTCCTCAGGAGACTGGAGTTAACTTGAGAGCAGGCCAGTCACTCGCCTATCTTTCACTGCGCGGTGGTCTCAACAAATCCCCGCAAACAGCCCGCACTCAGGGCTGACCGAAGAACGAGTGAATGTAAGAAGTGACATCCTGGGAAGGGGCACGGCAGCATCCTGTAAATGGAAACCTGAACGTCTGCACGCCGAGCCCGATGACCCACAGGAACAGGTGTGTTCCGTCTCTGAAGCCGTGACTCACGCCGCGCGGCTGCCTGCGCCCAGGGGCGCCGCGCCCGGGGCTTCTGGAGCACAGCGCCCCGCGCGCTGAAGCGCGGTGTTCCGGCGCCCCTGGGCCGCAACACGGTTCCACACCGGAAAGGCCCCGCCGCCTCAAAACATTAATGCCTCACTGAAGACAACAGCGGTAGCTTGTGCCTATGCCCCCTGCTCCTCGCCGCACCTCCCTTTTTCGTTTCTAAGAAATGTACCGAGGGTGAGTCTGCATGCGCTTCGTCGCAGGCGTCCCCGCTCCCTACACACCCCGCCCCCACCCTCGAGTCTCGGAGGACGGCGTTGGATGAGAAAGAATGGGGCCGCCTTTGTCATTAATCCTCCCCTCTTTCAGGCGAGCCAAGCTTCTTCCGGGTCAGCGACCACCCCCGGCCACCCCAATCAGGCTCGCCGTCCCCCAAACCGCTAGCCCCAGAGCGCACGCAGGCCAGGTCCCCAC